CACTACTGCACAAATAACAAAAGAGACAATCTTGTTTTTAATTAATATTTCTATAACACATACAAACAGCATGAGAGAGATTTTTGATTCCTGAGAAACTGACTTTTGATATGCAGATTTATTGCTTTTACTTATCAATAATAAATGACCACTGTAAATATCTGAAAATCTTTTGAAAATTTAGGACAAGTGACATTATTTAAATTTCTTCTGGCCGCTGTTATGTTCTATCTCATGCTTTATGCCTCAAGCCTTAATAACACTTGGTGCATCTCTGAGGACATGGGTTTATATCTATGCAAGCTCATGTGAAAAATGTATTAGTCTTAAAGGGGCTGCCATGTTTCTTTTTTTCCCCCTCCATCTTCCTTCCTCTTTTTTAATCACTGAATTGTTCACAATGTTTTACATAAGAATGGTTTTGTCCTTCAATGAAACCCATGGCTTCTTTTAATTAAAATTACATTTTTCTTCTTAATAACAACATCTGTTTAAGGAATCAGTTAGAAGCCCCTATCATTAATTTAATGGAGGAATTCCATTGGCATTCTATTAGATTCTCCTAGTTAAATTAGCATGATGGACTTTTAATGGATGTTTTAATAGACATTATTAACTAAAATATTGTAAAATTAAAATCTGACCCAATGAGTTTCCTTGAGTCACTGCCATAATATTATACTGAGCCACTGATCTTCAGCCTCTGAGAAATAACTAGATACACATAATTTAATTATGCCAAGGAAGGAAAAATAAAACTGTTATACTTTAAAGTAAAAATGTACATGTAGTGTGCATTTTTTACAAATAATTTAATACTATAATTATATAATTCTTGCACTCACTAGAAGAATTACAACTCTATTTTTTATTTAAAAAATCATAATATCAGGGATACTTGTTCACTGAGCTAGTACAGAGATTTTCTACAGTTGATGTCTTTGATAGCTTGGATTACTTGCTGAAGTCAGCCATGAAGGAATGTATCTAAAAGAAATACTCTTGTTCCTCTGGGATAGAAGCTCTTAGACTCCACACACTACCTATGATTGTGAAACAGGAGAAGTGACTACTAATATCAGACACTGTGCGAGTTTCACAAACCTCTTGAGCCAAAGATAGTAAGAAAGGCCATCCAGGTATCCTTTGAGGATGGGTATATTAGGTAGTAGAGGAGAATATCCAGAAATGTTATTTTCCACATTTTAGATACACACAAATATGTGATCATTATGACTGTCAACATTGTTCCACTGAGTTTTCAAACATCCATATTTTCAAAGTGGATTTATAAATGCGAATGCAACATTCACCAATATTGCATTTAACCTTTAAGTATGGAAAGTCCAATGTTTGTTTCTTCTACTCCACTATGACATTCAAAGCTTTGCTTCCATGGCAAGCTGCAGCTCAGCAATTTACAGCATCCTGGTCAAATTCCTGGGGTATATTCCCATCTTTTATTGTTTATTTGAAATATTTATGCTACACTCTTCAGTCACAAAGGCTCTCAGAGCAGCTTGGAAATTGGGTTGTTGTAGGTTTTTTGGGGCTATATGGCCATGTTCTAAAGGCCTGCAAACATCAGGAAAAATGCCTTTAGAACATGGCCATATAGCCCCAAAAAACCTACAACAACCCAGTGATTCCGGCCATGAAAGCCTTCGACAATAGCTTGGAAATTGTTAATGTGACAGTTCCATGTCTTCAGGTTTACAGTTCAAGGTCCCATCTACACTGCCATATCATGCAGTTTCATCGTGCAATTTGACTGCATTGAACTGCATTATATGTGTCACCACTACTATATAATATAGTTCAATGCAGTCCAATTACATTAAATGGCAGTCTTGATGAGGCCCAAATCAGACAGGACACTCAAGAAAAAGTGGGAAAGTGTTTACCAATGTGCTCAAGGTTCTAGGCATCTGTTTTGCACCAAGCGCTCTGTTTGTGCCCAAGATGGTTTTCATCACTAAGGTTTTCTAGTGTGAGTTCTCAGTGTGCATGACATGAGGCCAATAAGAGGCTACACAACTTCCCATCTGTGCTATGATCTCCCTACGTGAGGCTCATATATTAGAACTGTGATTGGATACTGAATTATACCTCATCTTCAGCAAAGTCTTGGCAATATGAACAAAATAGTCACCTATAACATTGTAGCTATATATTAGGCCTGGGTAACAACGGAAAAATTTGTTTCTAAAATCGATTTGTATTTGGGGTTTTTTTTTGTTTCGATATTTAAAATAATTACAAAAATTTCCTTTTAAAAAGTTCGATATTTACGAAATTTCGTAAATGGTAAAAAATTAACGAATCGATTTCCGAAACAATAACGAATCGATTCGTTAATGGAGGACGCGACCGCGAAATACGCTAAAAAACCTCCAAAACCTTCTGAAGCTTCCCTCTCCCTCTGTTGTTGACTGTTGGTGTGATATTATAATTTTTTTTCACTAATTAAACCATAAAACTGGCCCAGACATGCGGAAATAATAACGAAACGACCTCAAAACAATAACGAAACAAATACAATATCGAAATACGAAGCATTTGCAAAACGTTTTTGAAAATTCGTTTTTTTTATAATTGCTCCAGAATGGTTTGTAATGGTTTATCATTTTGTAATTGAAAAAATTAACGAATTATTAACGAATTACGAATTAACGAAACGAAACCGCCCAGCCCTACTATATATATTTTTAAATTCTCAACATTATCTTGGAATGAATGGGAGAAAATTGTATTCACTGTCTGGGGCATCAAGAGTGTCTTTTTTGTAATGGGGGAGGAGTGGAAAATTGGCTGAGGAAATGTTTTACATTCCATTGGTATGGTTTTCTCTGTCATTGCTTATATACTACCCAGAATTTTCTCAAACTTCTCCACATTGTTTTTACTAGTTTGCTTTCTTCATTAATGCTAGCTCCTGGACTCAATGGAAACTTCTTAACAATAAAGGTAGTTACACCATTACCAGACAGCAAATGCAATTATCCCATGGAGGAATTTTCTAAATGCAGCCATAGGAGATTTCAAAGCATGAACAATATTTAGCATAATGTGACACCCATAACTGTCAGATTACCACATGAGAGTAGCTGGCTGAGTGAGCTATTTTTAAGTTAAGACATGAAAAGTAAAACATTTAAATTTTCTTGGCAATGAGTCATGTTGGGAAAGAATAACAATTCAAAGCACAGACATTATATTATCAGGATGTTGGCTTAAGTTCTACAAATTCAAAAAAAAGTGCATTCTAGAGCAAAATTTAAATTCAACTTTTTTGTTAGTGTGAGGTACCAAAGCAAGTTCCAAATTAATACTTCAGTCTTCCTTCTGGTTCTGTTGGATAATATACACATATTCAAATATTAAGCATGTGGATCTGTGTAGTATAATAGAAAAACTCTTCAAGTTATGGCATAGCTATGCTTTATACTTATTTGAATTCTCAGTGGTATAGAGTTCACTAGTTACAACAATTCCTCCCTCTTTTAGGGAATCTAGACTTAGCTATAACATTTTAAAGTGCTATCATTACAATTTAAATAGCTTTTAATATTCTTGAAATATTCTCTGATCACTGACTGAAGAGAACAGCAAAAAAGAAGTTTGCATGCTGTAACAGGAACTCCTTGTTCTTCAACATATGGCTTGGATTATTTGCATGAATCATTTGATGCTAATGCTCTGTAGAGCTTTTCAAGCACCCCTCTTTTCTGTTTCAGGAACATGGTGATCTGAATTGCAAGGTAGGGTGGATGGGAAACTGCCTGCACACTCTTTGTACAAATACTTGATTTCCACAATAGAAAAATATTAGGATGCAAATATAATATTAAAAAGTGCTCTGAAACATTATCTATAAATGGCAAATTCTCAGACAATAACAGTTCATTATAAGTGCACATGGATGTCTCCATGGCAGTTAAATTCAATTGCACCCTCTTACCTGGCTGTAGGCCCCTGGAACTCAGTGGAACATATTTCCATTGGGGTACACATAGGGCTGTTCTCTTAGGGCCCTTCTACACATGCATTAAAACCTGAGAAGAAGCAGGTTAAAAAGGGAAGGGGGTAAACGCCATTTAATGTAGGAGGAATCAGGAGGAACTGGGTTAAGGGTTGGAAAACACATGTTTAAAATGTGCTCTTTAAACCTGATTCTTCCTGAGAAACTTGCATCTTTCCATGTTTGTGTATCCCAGTAGTCATGGAAAACACGTGCTTTGCTTCCCTCCCTCCGTGTGGACACCTCCAGAGGACGTGCATTTCTGAAAAGACTGAAACAACTGATCAGCTAAACAGCTGTCAAATGGAGACACAGGTGGCTCAGGAACCCATAAGTGGAACGCAAATACAACTTTGTCAAAGTCTGTCTTTTACACTTTGTAATGTTAAACAGAGTTTGAACTAACAATTGGAGGAAGACAGAGATCCAAGGGAAGTTTGTTTAATTTTTTTGCTCCATTACGCACTGGACCTTAAATGCACATATGTACATCTCTGGAGTGAAGTGTTCCCCATCCACCCTCCATTTTTATCTGCTTCAAAAAAAAAAAAAGCTGTGAGAACGGCAGGGAACTATGCAGCCGGACTGACAGGTCTGTGTTTGGACTCCCTTTGAGGTCCCACATTTTAAAAACCCACTTCTTTGTCCCATGCTTTGATGCTGTCTAGAAGTGCTCTGAATTATAGCAAATATGTTCTATCAAGTTCAGTCAGATCACAAAATGACTAATTTGCAGGGCATCCTTAGATGTCTACTCAAAATTATGTATCCTATAAATGAATAGGACTCACTTCCAGGTAGATGTCTACTCAAAGCAGAGAAAGGGAAGTAGAGATAGAATTATAGCTTTATGCCTAAATCTATTTAAAGTAGACTCATAGAATAAGTTGGTGAAGAATGAGTCACCTCTGTTGAAAGATCACTGATTCAGTGGATCTATTTTGTTGGGACTGTCAATTAAATTTAATCTACATCCAAGAATGTGGCCTCGCAGCAGACAATTCTTCCTCCTGCCAAATATGGGGGGCGGCACACCATGACCATGATCCCTGGAGATCCCATTCGGCAAAATCGTGTGGCCCTCAAAGGAAATATTGAGACGAACCATAACCTCCCACCTTCCCACAAGTCTCGGAACAGCATCCTGCGTACCAACCTGGATCTCTTTGCTAATGTTATTCATTGCAAGAGCCTTCAGGGAGTGGCAAACAGGCACCACGATATTGACATCCTCATCATCCGAGAGTACACAGAGGGGGAGTATAGCAGCCTGGAGCATGAGAGTGTCTCTGGTGTCGTGAAGAGCCTGAAGATCATCACCAAGGTCAAGTCCCTGTGCATTGCTGAATATGCCTTCAAGTTGGCACATGAATTGGGGCGTAAGAAGGTGACAGCTGTCCACAAAGCCAATATCATGAAGCTGGGCGATGGTCTCTTCCTGCAGTGTTGCAAAGAGGTGGCAGCAGGGTACCCAAACATCACCTTTGAGAGCATGATTGTTGACAACACCACAATGCAGCTGGTGTCCCATCCACAGCAGTTTGATGTCATGGTTATGCCGAACCTCTATGGCAACATCGTCAACAATGTCTGTGCTGGATTGGTCGGGGGCCCAGGTCTGGTGCCAGGGGCCAGTTATGGGCACAACTATGCGGTGTTTGAAATGGCCACATGCAATACTGGCAAGAGCATTGCCGGCAAGAACATTGCCAACCCTACTGCTACACTGTTGGCTGGCTGCATGATGCTGGACCATCTCAAACTGCACAACTATGCATCTGTTATCCGCAAGGCAGTCCTAGCCTCTATGGATGATCCAGTTACCCATACCCCAGATATTGGTGGTCAAGGAACCACCACAGAAGCTGTTCAATCAATTCTGAAACAGATCAAGAAGACAGACCATAGCTTGGTGCAATGACATGATGAAGCTGAAGCAGTGTTCTCCCCTACTGCTAAAAAAAAAAAAATCTGTTGTCTGTAAATGGAGCAGGTCCTTCCACTCCAAACTGTCCAAACCACTAAACATATTTTCATATGAAAACTGAATTTGTGACAATTATAACTCATAATCAGACATTCATGTGGTATGTTTAAAGTTGTCAGAAAGGTAAAATAAACAAAATATTAATGTGTAAATATTTAGAAAAATACATATGAGATGCAAGGCCGATTTTAATAGAGTTCTCTTCATAGAGTCTACTGTGAAAGCTCTATTATATTTTGATGCAAAGTGCCAAAAGAATGTGCCCAGAGGGTGTTTTTTTTCCTTCCAAGAAGAGAAAATGCTTTTAAAATGATCCTAGATCTAAGGAGTTCCCAGAATGCAGTAAGAGTCAAACAGAAAGTAAAGTTTATATTGCATTATGAAATTATGTGGAAGTTTCTGTAAAGTAGATTCAGTTATGTTGTATACTCCTTAGGGATCATAATAAACCCATAACATGAAAGCAGATCTGCAGACTAGTGGAATGGGTTCAAATACAGTGTGGAACATCTGATAGATTTGAAAACAAGTCAGACCATGATACAGTTCATGCCAAGTCAGAAAGATGGACAGGGATTCCACCAAAGCATTAGGAAAAACTTCCTGAAAATAAGAGAGGTTCAATAGTGGAATATGTTATGGGATGGGATTATGTCCACACTAGATGTTGTCCATAAGAGAATGGTTTACTCTACACCCTGAAATCACTTATTACAGACCCAAATTACTCGCAAAGATGGAGTCTACTTATCTGATTTTGGCAATGAGCTGTTTCTTGTGTTTTGCAAAAGAAAATTAAAGCTATTTTGTTAAGTTTGGTGAGGGATAGGGGCTAAGTAGATGCTTGACCCCTATCTATGGCTGGTATAGGTGCAAAATATGAGTCAGTGAACATCTTCTGGTTCATTTTGGTGTTGGATGGGATTTGGGGTGTGTCCCTGGGTCTCATGTGATCTGGGGGTTGGAAAAACTGTCCGTCTCTTGGTCTTTGCCCTGACCAAGGCTTACACTTTCTTGCTAGCCTTCTAGTTCGTGGCTTATGTGAGAGCAACCCTCAATTTCAGAGATTCCTCTCGGAGGGCATGGTGTTTCCATCCCAGGGAGACTATGGTTTGTGGTCTGGGTTAGACCTTTTGCTCCTGTCACTCCCACATAAGTTTTACTCCCTGCTTTAGTTTTTGCTCATCAATAAGAAACAATTTTAAATAGTAATAATAAAAATTACTCTTATTTCATTGAATATCCTGTGTCTTGTCTCTTTATTCCTGTGGTTGAGCAACAATGAATAATACAATAATACCTTCCAGAATGTCTGGCTTGGTTTACTCCAAATTTGAATATTTACATACGACATTAATATGAGATTTATATCTCATTTCCTGTTCTTTTATTTTTAATATCAAATTGTAGGGAGATCAACAACCTATGACCTTTCTGCAGTAGATGATACCACATTTTAAATATAAAAATAGTTAAGTATTCTGAACTTTCCTTTCTCCCAATCTTTTTATTATTGAAACATATATATAATGTTACATCAAAGTACAAACCTAATATACTATATTACTTTTATATAGTGTAACTTATTATATAAGTGTATTATATTGCTTTTATGTTACATATATAAATCCCCGCTCTAAAATTAATTCAACCCTTTCCCACTTATAAAATATTAAATTTTATTTCCTGCCTTCCAACCTAAAGACACTTCTTTGAATATGTAGCCATCTTCTCACTATAGTGTAATATATAGTCTTGATTTCTACCTTATAACTACAAAAATATTATGGAATGTAATCTTTAAATCACACAAATGTTTCCATGTTTTCCTTCTTCTTCTTCTTTTTTTTTTACAAAGGTTAAAAAGTGTTCCCAATCTTCTAAGAAGTTATTTAAGGCTGGCTTTTCAATCATACTAGATAATTTGTCAATTTCTGCCATTTAAAATATCTTTTAAGATGCCATGTTCTTGTGTAGGTACATTTGTGTTCTTCCATTTTTGAAACGACAGTATTTTTACAGAATATAGTGTACTAATTTAAAATTCAGGTGTTGAATTTGTTCATTTAGTAGTCCTAATAGAAATAAAGCTGACTCTAAATCCACTTGCATCCATCTTGCATCCATCTCCAATATTTCTTAGCTTGATGTGTCTCACGTTTCCAGCATACATTTTTGATCTCTTTATACATGTTAGATAGTTTTGTCGGGGGTCAAGTGCCGCCTATATATCATCATGTAGAAATGTTCTTTATGATCAAAGCCTAGAATATCTTTAAATCCATTGATCATTCATCTCTGCTTTCTATATTCCAGTTGTAACCCTTTGAACTCTCTCCTGCTATATCATCAGAAAAAATGAAAGTCTTGTTTCCTAAACTATAAATATAAAGGTATAACATGGTTTATTTTTTAAAAAACACATTGAAAAGAGATCAATTCTGGAAAGCAAACAAACAAAAAACCACCATAGGTCATCAATTTAACCTTTTCTCCCAGTTATTTCCCCCATGATTTTTACATGCATATTTGCTAAAAAGATCTATTTTGAGATAGTCCAAAGAAAAGCAAAAATGGCTTGCATGTTTTCATTAGTGGAACAGCATTTGTGTTTTAATTCCATGAGCAAATATCAATTTCTGAGAAAGAAGCACTATCTTCTCTGCAATTTTTCTTCCTGAACTGAAAGCTCATTGCACTGCTGTTATGTGATAAGCAGTCCACTCCACTTTGAAACATACAAGGCTTGGGGGAAAAGGTTAAATGCAAGGAGGAAAAAAGAAGCAGCCTTAAACTAGGGTAAAAGGGAAAACCAAAGAATTTTATGGTGTCAGTCATATTTTCACTCCTGGCCAAATACCTGGAGGTACACAGGGGTATGTTTTAATTAGACTGTAGGTAATACACAGGGAAGAGGTTAATCCCTTTCTCTACTGCTGTTCCATGTTAAATTAATTGCTATCATAAATGTTAGTTCTACTAGATTAAAAAAATGTCTGTATTTTCCTTTGCATTGATGCTGTACTACATTGTGCTTTATATTTGTATTAGACACACAAACATGGATGCACAAACACACATGATTTCTGTGAACAGCTCTGGGAATACTGAATTCCAAATCAACGAAAGCTGACAATGACAAAGCCTTGTCTTTCAGGACCCTGGACAGAGCTCTCAAGCCTTTTCCCAGTAATGGCTGTCTAAACTGAGTAGGTTTATTCTTTTTCCCCTTTTCCAGCTTTTTACATTTTGTAGAAATTTGTTTTGCACCTTAAACAGGAAGCTCTTCCAATGAGGGATCCTTGTAATAGGCCTCCTCTGTGGCACTACAGCAGCAAGCAGGTTTACTGGAGTGTGATGCCTTGGGGACAAGATTTCCAGGCTCTTGATAGGTTCTGCCTCACAGTCTCTGGGAGATAGGCTTTGGTGGGTTCATTGCTTTCAGGATCCTACAGTGTTGCTAGTTCATCATTCTTTATATCTGAATCCAAGTCAGTGTTGGATATTTGTACAACTCTGAATGAGGGAGAACTTTTATTGATGATGTACAATGTTTTAAAATGATTTTATTGTAAGTTGTAGTTTTTATGGTATTTATATTGTTAGCATCCTCTGATGCTTATGTGAGGCCATGCTGAGTCCCCCTTGTGGGGAGAAAGGCAGGATATAAATATATGAAATAAATAAATAATAAAGTGCCTGGTGTGGTCAGAAAAGTTCCTGGTGTTAGGAATCAGAAAATCAATATTTACTGTACAAAAACATGACCCTGCTTGTCATAAATTCCTGGTGTGTGAGAGGTGCCACCATGTATCTGGAAAGGCTTTTAATTCTACAAAGATCCAAATTGGTGAACACAAATTCAGCAATCTGCATTACCCTTCAGATACTAATGAACCCTAGGTTCAGAGCTAGAATAAGGAGTACAATATATAATGTCATAGGTGATTCCTGGCTCCACTATGCCACCATGTACTATGTATGGTAGTATCATGAAGACGTTGCAATGTGTACCTTTACTATATTCTTCTGGACATGCATATTGTGGTGTCACCATTAGGATGCAGCACTGCAATTGCTGCTAACTAATGATGATGTTGCCATGGATGCTATGATATTAACTGCTGGTGTTGCTCAGTTTATTCCTGTTTTTGCTCTATAAGGTCATAGGATTGCAACGGTATTATGCTAGTGCACTGCACATAGAAGAAGCTTGATGGTTCCACAAAGTCAGAAAGACCTGCTAGAAAACTGCATCAAGCATTCTGATTATTGTTATAATATTACAGCCAAGGAGGATAGAAATACACTGGGAAATCCGCTTTCAAGTGTGAAAAAGCCCAAATCTATCTGACTTCATTATTTTCCAAAATAATGTGCATAAATACTTAATTTATATCATTTTGCATTTTGTGGCATTAGATTCTTTAATCTGTGGACTTGTGGGTTGTGATTCATCCCCTTGCTGTGCTTGTTAGGCAGGGTTCTTTATTGTATGTGAGAGTCATTAGTTACTATTGAATACTGCTACTGTTAATACAAACATTGCAGGTGATATTAGAAATCAGTGGCACAACAGGAAACCCACACAAACACACACACCATGGTAGTTGTGCTTCATATCAAAAGCAGTAACATCTGGCAAAACAATGATACTTGATTGAATCCTTTTTTTGGATGCTGAAAAGCCCAAAAGCCTAATGTTAGACATCTAATGGTAATTTAGCTTCATTTGTGCCTGAAATTTCATCCCACAAACTTTAAAATGTAGTCAATATAATGCAGCATAAATATACAATAACCTTTAAGTCATCTCAAATAGAAAGAAGCTCTGGAATAATCTCTCTCCATCCCTACTGCACAGGGGAATAGTAATATTACCTAGACACGTCTTTTGTTGAATTCTTGGGTGAAAAAGTAGGGTGCAAACACAATAGATAAAAATGGTACTAAATCTTATTTATTATTGGTC